CCGTGGTACGGTCTTAAAAATTCCTTCAATCTCGACCACATGGTTTCAATGTTGTTAGTACGAACGCCAGTAGTAGGGTCGACAAAATGACGTTTATGCACTACGACATGATGGACACACCCAAGTCTATGGAGGCATCTATACGCTCTCCAATCATCTGTATATACCGTAGTGCCCGGCTGCAGGTATTGCTGTATAATTGGTATTATTGTGCTTGCTTTCCGGTTTCTGACCTTCTGAAAATGCCTCTTTTGTGTTGACTGATCACAAATTTCAAGTATATTTACGGAAGTGACACTTATCCAGTCTTCTTTGATACTACGTCCCCTGTTGTATTTTCGCTTTCGCACTACTGTTTCATCTATTTCCACAATACTTCCTACTCCTCCGAATGATTGGTGTAGACGCGTCATTATAAGTGCACATATATCACGACAATACTCATACCACTGGACGGCTGAAGTTTCAGTAAAATCTGAAAAACGCCGCAGCCAGTGTTATTGGTGCCTTTATAATCCAATTTGCAACAATTATCATGATTTGCCTCAGTTCAGTCGCGATCGAACGAAGAAAGTCCCCGTTCGAGTAAACTTTTTTCCCCAACACAAAGAAAAACGACATACAATCTCATCACGATAGTCTGCATACTTTACTGCAGTCATTTGATAACCGCAGTCAGAGGTACAGGAACTCCTTAGTATTCTCATCTCTTGTAGCCGCTCAATAATAACCTCTTCTCTAAAATCCACTGTAAACCGATCGTATGTGAGCATCAGGTGTTGAACTTGGCTTCATGACCTTGAAATTCTTCAAATGCCTCTGATTGGCTCGTCCATAAATAAGAGTCTCGCCAAATTAGGTTATCTTCTCCGCTCTAAAATCGCACACAACTGTAGTCGAGAATAGATTTTTTAGTTAATGAAAACGGTCTGAGGAAAGTCTCACAATTAGAAAACTCCAAAGTGTCCCTTAACATATCACCGTGTTGTTGTTCACATACATACTTAGCTAGAAACCAGGTCGCAAAGTAGGGACAGTACTTCTGTAAAGTTAGTAATAAATCTGGAATAAAGCTAAAGAGCACCAATCCATGGTCTGAGTGCTGAGATATCCATAGGTGACGATGCTTGTGTAACAGCTTAGGTTGGTTGGTTAAGAGTTGACCTCAAACAACCAAACATATGTCAGAACAGTATAGTTCAAGTATTCATTCACTTCCTTATTTTGTATAAACGTTATATTTCCTATTATCTTATATTGAATGTTGAAAGGCTTTGTTTGTCTGAAAAAATAATCCCACGCTCCACTGTGACTGCGTGAAGATCTAAATAAAGACATATTCACTAGTTGTCTGGTTTCTTCTATCAATAGCACGAGGGTTACCTAGAGGCACGAAACTTGAACCAATGAACCTAGGCGACTCATATCAGAACATCGTAGAGTGAAAACGTAATCTAAACGGTAGGAACATATATCTGTCGTATTGATTGCAGTTAGTTAATTAGAGGTTTCACTCAATGTAATTTGCAAATACGCATATTACATAGAATATATTCAGTGGTATAAATATATTGCAATAGGCGAGAATTTATTGTCAGGAGGTGTTCAATACAAATTCTAAGCGTTTTTTCATCCAACTCTAATGGAGTCACAATGGGAGTAGATCAAACCGGAAAACTCAACAGGGATTCTGATCACTTTTCCAACCATTTTATCTGACTCATTCTTCACAGCGTGTCTTAAACCACGTGGAGTTAGTCTATGTTTCAAGAAGATGAGGTATCCCTCAATATCTTAGTGTAGTGGTTAAACGTTTATGCCTCCCATAAACTTTAAGGATCGTAAGACCATATCGCCGATTAAGGTACTGTCAGAAAAATCACTACGCAAAAAGTGCGCACGTTCAGCAATCTTAAGGTCGCTACCTAAAGCATAGATGAGCCATACTCGCCAACTAAGAAGGTAGAATTGACACTGTTATATCCTAGAGAAGATCAAATTATGGGTAACTTCTGAGATCTATTGATTGACTTATATTATCTACATTCTTATTGCATAAATGTTGAGTAACCAGACTATGTATATTTATATTCCTCTTACTATAAGGTCTATTTTGGTTTATAGACCGTTATTACGCGGTTTACTGTTTTTAAGTTATGCCCAGTTTATTAATTACAGTCTCTCACATTTACAACCACCTTTGGCTTGATCTTGTGCAAATATTATTTTTAATTTAACGGCACGATGCGGTTTGGTTTGCTTGTATATAAACCAGGTGTGTTCGAAGTAAACGATTCGTACAGTGAAAGCTGATATTGGTGTTTCAGCTTCAACAGGCAGAGCTGAACACGAAAAACGACCAATAATGACTCCAGGCTCCACATACCAGTTAATACGTCATTGATTTGGCACGGTGCTAAGATTGTGTAAGTTGTATTCTGATCGTCGAGTAAATCACGTAGTATATTATTCTGTCAAAAGTCACGACAAACTGGGGATGGGGAATTCGCGAAAAAAAGATTTCGGAACAAAACACGTTGTAATAGTCGCCAGTCATTTTGGGAGTTAAAATTATTATTAGCAGTAAAAATGGCACTTTATTCAGAAAAATTGAGGTTGTTATTACAACAGCAGCAAAAGATGACAGCTTTTCAATGGCGATTCCTGGGAGAGGTTTTGGGGCAACTTTCTATTCAACAAGATATTCCAAAACATAAAGATATGTAGTTGTAGAATTATGGTTTAGTTCGTTATTAGTACTGATAAAATAATAGACCTACCCGTAAAATCGTAGAATTGTCATCATGTGACTACCTAGTCAATGAGATCTTACTTGGAAGTCCCGTTGTTGTCTACACTGACTCGTCATATCAGCAATGTTTTCGGCATTTCTTAAGGGCACATTTAGACTGCAGACAGAACGATATAAATAAAAGTGATAACTTACGCAAGAATGACCGCACATGAGAGGCTGAGTCATGCCATGCAGTTGAGTTTAATGTATATTCTCACGTTTTCCATTGTTAACTTTCATTTTTTGTCCGCTGTTGAATATAAATCTCAATCCCACTCCGAGGTTTATTTTCTACGCAGTCCGTGGCCACACATTTGAAGCATCGGTCGACAGAAAAGAAGGTATTTTCTGAGTGGAATTCGCTGCCATGGGTAACGCAAAGAAAGTCCGGCTGTTACAGAGACTTGGCCCTAACAAGTACCAAAAGTATAAAAACCATACTCTACCTAAACATCCACGAGAATTTAAATTCGATGAGACTGTTAAAATTTTAAGTGAATGTTCTGTGAACAGATGTCATTATTTCGTATTCGGTATGACTGTCTATAGGTGACTGAGGAAGCTGATGAAGACTACATTACATATGCAGGATGAGTAGATTTACAAGCGGAACAATTTAAATTAAATGTATTAGATAGGAATCAATCTAAATATTTATTGATTTCCAATCTGGACTCTGCCACCGATAAAGACCTTCGCGTGAGGGTGTTATTCCATATCGAACTGATAATTTGCACGAATGGTTGTGCTCCCAGACCTCCAGATAGACTGAGAATGTTCTAAGCTGTTTAACAAGTGAGCAAATGATAGAAAAATATGACCAAATCATCTATGTTAGTTAAAAATAACCACGAGAAAACGACACTATGTGATGATTCTATGGACCAATTTATCGGCTGAGTTTGTGTTGATAGTTTCATCAATTTCACCAATCATATTACATGATTATCAAGTCCCAAAAATGATATACGATGGTGTTGAGAAGTCGTCATGAATTAGCTCACAAACTGTTGATGAGTTGTTAGCGCGTCAAAAACAATCAGCGTTGCTTCAGATGTTTCAACCCATTTACGTCTTTGTGTTTGCCTACATAAAAAGTATGCTGACTCAACATTTTATGATGAATTAAGTGACGCGAGTTAGTGTAAAGCGTTTTTCTTTTCAAAACGTAAATCTTATCTTGTTGCTTTGAGATTCAATTTTCATCATGGAAAGACCAACTGAACAAAAGCGTTTGAGCCCAGGGAGACCAGTTTGTGGTTGTTGTTAATATTGAGAGTTTGTAGTGTCAGTTATTATGCCAAGCCCATATACCTTATTCGAGCTTTTGGACATCCCATTCTATTCATTTTACTTGAGTCATACATTGACCTTGTTATTTATTCGCTTATCAATCTAGACTGTTTTTATATGTGCGTATGTGTGCCCTTCTTATTCCATTAATCACTTGTCTGTAGCTTTACTTTGTCTGACTATAAATATTGAGTAACGCTTGACAAAGACGGAGTTGGCTTCCCAGCCATCTTCCCTGCGTGTCATTTTGCTCTGTTCTATTACATTCACTTTACATACAAAATATATGTATTCAAAGGCCATTCTCGTTAATTGACTTATCTAAATTACGTTATTGACTAACGTGATTTAAGTCGACGATGATATACGAGAATCAGCGATAGCAAACATTCGTACGCTCTAAATAGGAGTCAGATTCACGGGCCACTAAAAGTTTGATTTCTTTAAAGCAAGAGACATCAATGTATCGTTACCTGAGTTTTAGTGATCGTATGACTTTTTCAAGCAAAAATAAACGATTCGCTACCTCTCATAAGCTTCTGTCAGTCGTATACATATTGCGTTAGTGAATAAAGTCACTACAGTATGCTCTGTCAGAGGCTGTTATCTCATCATGAGGTTATTGATTAATGAAGCGCTCTCAGCATTTTTTTATTAACATGTAACAAAAAAACTAGAAATTATCGGTTTAAGCTATTTTAGCAACAACAAATTGTCCGTTTCGTTTTATTTTTGTTTGAGCTGTTAGTGTTTAGTGGCCTTTACAAACAGTAAGATGGCGCTTGCAAACAGTTGTGGACAATAATGGGCGTTTTGCTCTCCCAGTTCTCATCTCAGTGCCTAGATTTACACTTGGAAAAACACTCACAAAAAACGCTTCGCCATCACAACACGATATCCGAATAGAATCTCAATGTTTTGCTGCCGGAGTGAAGAATATAAAGAACAGAACCGCATCAACAAAGAAATTGAGAAACAACTGAAGCGCGACAAAAAAGATGCACGTAGAGAGCTTAAACTTCTCCTCCTTGGTATGTTTTGCTGGAAATTGTCTATACTATTTTCCTGGCTTTTTGGTTAAAGAGTCCAATCACACAAAACTTGATTTGTCTTGAGGACAGATAGCTAGTAGTATGTTAATTCTCTGATAATGAGCTTGAATGCTTTTCTATTCCTCTTTTAAGTGGGCCAATCAAAAGTTATATATCGGCTTTGTTTAACTTTTTCCTGTCAATTTTGTCGTGCAAAATAATCCTTTTCTTAATCCAGCTGTGCACAAGCTGTGGATTACTGAAAAAGCCAAGTCTTGATTGTTTTTCCTAGCGTTTAGTAGCTCAATAATAATCTCATCTGTTCGCACGATGTTTTCAGGCGGAGTCCAGCGGCTCTGTAGCTTCTGGTGTCAGGAAATATGTTGTAGAAAAGCATTTTGTACAACAAGCGTGATCGTGGCTTGCACCATTTATAAGCAGCCGGGATGAACCAAATAAACCCATTGATATCATTTGTTACAGCCGTCATTGCATTCAATCAGTTCAGAAGAAACTGGTGGGTTTACTGCGGGTATGTTCAGTCTAGGGCATTTATTAGGTGAGTAAACAGCCTTAAATGTTACAAAGACCTAGGAGAGATACTAACTTAACATCGAGAAAATCAAGTGGAATTCCGATTTACAAATAAGTTTACGTCAAAGAAGTACAAACACCCCTAGGAAATGCGAAACCAATGTTTTGTCCTGGTACTTTATCTAAAATTAGCTCTTAGGGGTTTGCTGAAACCATAGGATTTTCATTGTTTAAATCATAAACTGATCTTAGCTAGACCACTATTAAGGACTCTGAAGTACTGGAAAGCTATTTTATCCTAGCATAGCATTAATCTAATTAAAATATTAGTTTCTCTATGTTAGAAATGATCACAACTAGAAGTTGTAATTTGGTACTCTGCCAAGTTTGTCTAGGATCGCTACTTTTTTACTCGTTCGAATAAATTTATTACGTTTCTACTTTATTCCATCTAATATGCAACAACTCTCTCTCTATAACCCACTAAGTTGCTTAATTAAAGTTCATTAAATTACAAAATTGAAAGGTTGGTTAGATAACGTCGAAAATGTATTTCTGCGTGATTCTGAACATCCCAGGCAGACTGCTGTAATTTTTAAAACTTGCAGTTAATCATAAACTAAGTTTGCCTTAAGATCTTTTGGGATTTGATTGTATATCCTGTCAGCAGTGTGCACTTAAACTCTCATAACCAATATGACCCAGTAAAATGTACGCTTCATATATATTTCGCTAACATTCTACTATACCCGCCTTCGTGTTTCCTCGTCATAATAGTGATCGCACATACTAAGTCACTAGCTGTGGTGTTACATACTGATTATCGTAGAAATGGATGGAAAAATGTACTAATGATCAGTCTGAAATGTGGTCCGCAGAGATAAACTAATGATATGGGCAAACTAGGAGAATGCAGACTTTGTGGTTTGATCTTAATTAGTCTCACTAAGATGCATTCAATCTTCGCTTCCCTCTAAACCTTGTATATAATATTATTCCGTCCTTTGTGTATTCATTTGTTTGTTTTTGCGTAGACTTTTTACAATTGTTGATAGTATTTTCACTTTTTCCTTTGGGTTATTTCTTCACCGCACAAATGGAGAATGTAATAACTGTTGACTCACTTTTAATCATATCCTACGTTTATGCTTATTTTTTCAAGCAAATCACTCAAACCAAATGTTTTGACCACTTGAAAGTTTCCATTTCTGTAATAATTATTGGGTTTGTGTAACAAAATTACTTTGGATACCATAATTTTGTTTCCTGTACTATCAAAGTACGATATTTCTTAGTCAAGTTCTAAGTTTAGTTAGTTCTACTCTTCTGTGCATCGTAATCGTTGTACCATGAATCATTTAACATCTTGTAATTATATTCTCATGAATCGCATAATAGGAAGTTGGTGCTTTGTACGACATCAGTATCAGTCATAATCATCATATATCCTTACTCAAATATGCATTGTTCCAAGTTTTCAATAGAAACAACAATTGCTAGTGACTTTGAACAAGTATTTGAATTCTCAGTGTATTTTATTTATTAATTTTAACACATATATTGGTACAAGAAGGCACCAAATACATATGCGCCACACACTGATCTCATTTGATATGTGTGAGGGCTGTGATACTGCCCGGGTGCCTAAACCGATGCAGGTGGTTTTCTTATGGGGCCACACCCGGAGCCTTCGACCTGAAGGTCTAATCCACAAGGCAGTGGAGCGGCGTAAGGAGATGAAGTCCCATGGTAGCCGGTGACCAACGATTGGTTCATACGCCATTTATTCCTTCAGGATCCTGGAGCCCATGTGCACCATTGGTCTGGAATGAGGGTTTTCCAACTTCCCTAAGTGGACTCTCCATATCCACAAACCCGGTTAAAGCGCCGAACATTCGCTTTTCGTCCTCTCACTTTCGTAAGCAACACCCCCACCACGAGAAGGCAGTGAGTAGGACTTCCCTGGCAGAGGCTATATACGCGTGGCCATGTGAGAGGATTTCGAAAGGGAGAGCAGACTCTTCCCACTCTCGGCCATACCAGGGCATTTGGGGTCTTCTCCTAGTTCACTCTAGTAGAGATTACATAGTAACAACTCGAACTTCATATTAATCTTTTTAGTTATTATTAATTTAATAAATCTAATTATTGTTAACAATTTAAACTCTTCTTCACATACCGAAGTCTGAACAGTGAAGTTGTATCACTGACGTTTGAAAAATGTGACTTATATAGTAGTAAAATCTTTTTACAACACATGATTTCCTACATTTTGAATTTTTCTGCTTTTACTAGGTACCGGTGAGTCGGGCAAAAGTACCTTCATCAAGCAGATGCGCATCATACATGGAGCAGGTTATTCGGACGATGAGCGAAGAACCTTCATCAAAATTGTTTATCAAAACATATACATGGCTATGTTTACGATGGTTCGTGCTGTGGAAAGTCTAAAAATCCCTTATGAAAACCCAGCAAACAAGGTTAATCTTTTTAAGTTATACTTCTGTTACGTAATATGTCATGATCGTCATTCGCAAAATTAAAAAGTAGTGTTATGAAAAGTTTGCAAAAAGTTCTTGAATTACAAAAATCTATTCACTCCGTGACTGATTAATCATTTGGAAGCATGTCCTAATTACTTCACCGGATCTCATTAATACGGTCGATAAATATTAGTCTTAAGATTTTCTATGTATACATTAATCAAATCCTGTATAATTCCATATAAGTTACGTCTCGTATACCTTATGTTTCAATCATTTTAAGTTGGTAACAAAAATATCCATATTTCGTTCCTGTCCTTTTGGGAATTGTGCCCGCCTGAATCGCTGTCCTACTTTTGTCCATACCAATAGCAGAGAAATATTGTTAGAAGTGATGATACTTTGGTCATTCCTGTTGAGTTTCTTAACTGGTGGTTTCATAAGTATCCTTCCTTACTCTGATAATTAAAGATTGCATCATTATATGCAGCTGTTGTCGATTCCCTGGTGTATACACATTCTGAGGAATGGTAGAGATTTGTAGTTTAGGTGAGTGGTTTTAGTAAGATTTCGTTCTATGAACTGCGTGGTCAAATCATGAAGCTTTAATTGTGCTTTTGAACAGAACAAGAGTAACTGTTTGGTTAAGAATTAGGTCAACGAAGATAGCAATCAAAACAAATATCCTGAAAATGATAGAATAAGGGTCAACAACATCTAATTAAGACGAAGATCGACATGACAAGCTCGGTTGTACATAGAGAAGTTTGAGTAACTCACTTCTAGGACTTTTGCTAATGATGCCCAGAACGACAATAAAAGCTTCACGATTAAATCGCTTAACTCGAAAAAAGTTCACTGAAGTTTTAAGGAACGTCTCAAAAATGAAGTACAAATGTGCTTAGGATACAAAATCTCGGCTTTTGATACACAGAATTTCTCACAGGTCATACTTTAAAGACTCTCATGATAGGATTTTCTTCTTTTCAAAGGATACTCCTAAACATTGATGTGCAAAGATGCCTGATTTGTTCATATTCTAACAATATGTCGATGCATAAATTAATAAAATATTTGCTGTCTTCAAAACCACTCCCTATTCCTTCTTAGTTTTGAAGCTTTCTGGCGTTATATCATTCCAGAAAATCCCGCCTATAAGATATTTAATGTATTCTACATCCTCTGTTGTAAGAGTATCATCAATAGTTGACTGAAACTGCTACAATTTTAGGAATCAGGAATAATTAACAGTATCAGTGATTTCATGCATTGAACACAAAGTACATATGCTCTAATAAAAATGGTGTTTAAGATGAGACGTATTCCATTGAAATCTTATCAATCTTCAGTCACAATTTCCTCTACTCGTGTGAAAATCGTATATTCCTTGTTTTTAGGTATACTAAAGATCCTATGATACCCATAGTGTCATCAGTTGGAAATGTTCGCTAATTACTGTATTAGTATTCCAATAGAAAATATGTACTCAGATAATTTCATCGATCCCCAGTTTAATTAAGTTTCTACTAGTTACTCAACGTTTCTGGAAATTTCTGACTTCAAGTTTACCTTCTAAAATTGTCTAAACGATTTGTCAAGCTTTTGTTATAACGAAATTTTAGCTCTTGGAAACATGATTATTTTACCAAATAACGTTAGAGTAAGCACGTTAAGTGCAACTGACCATTAAACTAATTATTTGAGAAAAATGCTTATTCTAACCGTGCTTATTTTCTCCATTGAATGTTACAAAGTGTGCTAAATGGAAACCTTCTGTTTTTAGGCATATGGGGAAGCAATAAAAGAGATCGACTATGAGACCGTTACCACTATGGAACCACAGCACGTTGTAGCTATCAAATCATTGTGGGATGATCCAGGTATTAAAGAATGCTATGATCGTCGTCGTGAGTATCAACTAACCGATTCAGCAAAATAGTAGGTGGATTCTCAAGTTATGACATTGTTTATTGTTATACTTTTGCCCGGTACCTTTTGTGATCGAATCTCTTAGTTCCATGTATAATTTGATGGATATCATATTTGAGTTGAGATGTTCATGTACATACTACTACTATATTTACCGAAACACTTGTTTCTTTGAACCCTACTGTGCCACTTAGGTCAGTTGGAAAATAATAAGATTAGAAACAGTGAACTCAAAGTTCGATGGGGATTTCAAACTTCTAACTGTACTGGAATGTAACTGCAGCAAAGAATTTTTTCGGACAATCAGGATCTGTGGCGACACTGTCATCTCCCGACAGAAGAAAGAGGATTCAAAAGGTTGTCTCTAAGTTTGGCACACTTGCCACTATCCCATGGATTTATATTGTCGGCGGTAAGGTCTGAAAACTAAAAAGGTAACATATTCAAAGCAACTTACAAAAAGGTCATATGTGGCAGGTCTGAAGTAGTTTTCCTTTGTGCTCTGCAATCATGCTCTCATTGTCAGGGCTGATTCTAACACAGTTTCCTTTTCAAGTTCTTTGAGAAGTATTTTGCCACGATGTGGGGAACTGGATTAAGTCAACCACCTTCATATCTTTAACAGTACTTGAGGTACGACTGAATCCCTTCGTTTCCTACTATCGTTTCTATCCATACTATTAACCTTTACCTTATGTCTACCATTGTTACTGGTTCGATTTTCCGAGGCTCAATTCTTGGTCTTCTTAAAACACCACTGCAAACTGCATCTCTCAGTTTTAATTTACTACTCTTATTCCACGAGGTTTTGAGTTTCATTATTTTTCCATACATAAATTTTCATTTCGTCTTCTCGAACGATATTCTTAATGTTTAATTTCCTCGCTATCACTGCTATTACAATTATTTACCTACTCATCATGCTGGTGTGGTCTGTGAATTACATGAAGTACGTACCGTTCCCTCGGAAGGTGCTGTAAGCGCACTACTGTTTAAGAGAATTCCTAGAAAAAGAGGGCTTTCCCCAACTGCGGTTGTGGAAGTGTTTTCTTTTTGAATACATGTCTCCACTTTTAGCATCTTTCATTTTTGCTGTTGTCATAAACCTTTCTCTCTTACCAATTTACTCTTATCCTAATATATTATTTTTCCTTGCTTCAGTGTATTGTAAATATGCTTTAGCATAGTAGTTGCTTGTCTAGTGTTATACACAACTCTCTTGATTATCAAGCAGTTAACACAGAGGATATTAAGTTTTATATTCATCGTTCAAGTTAGTTGCAGCTAAAATTTAATGTAATGGCAAAGATTTAAACTCAATGTTAGGTCTTTGTTTCGTTAGCTTATGACACATCGTGTGGCCGTAGTGAACGAGAACTCAGGGGGGGACGAAATTATTGTTTAATGCAAAACTACACAATGACTTAGTAAAATATAAAAATCATACATTAGATACATCGTTTGCATACCCTTGCGATGTTATTTACATACTCCATTATTTTTCCAATTCTGTTTTTATTTTGATTGCTCTCTGATTCCCTTTCTGTTCTCTTCAAATCAATCTTCTGCTGCCAGACATTCCGCTTTAGATTGCGGCTACATACTACTTATATCGGCCTGAATAAGTAGCATACAGCACGTGATTGTCTCATTGTTTCATGAAATGTAAATGTAACTGAAAATCATTAGTAAATAATTCATTTTATTTATTACATTAATTGTATGCTATTTTTCCGTTAATACACAGCTATTTAGATAATCTTGACCGAATTTCACAATCAGATTATTTACCGACGCTTCAAGATATTTTACGAGTTCGAGTTCCTACTACAGGCATTGTAGAGTACTTGTTTGATTTGGATTCTATCATATTTCGGTAAGTCTTTCAAACATTTTCCTTTTACCAACACAACTATTCCCAAATGACTGAGATTTTAATGCAATATTTTGTTTTACAAGTTAAAAACAAATGAGATTTATGCTATAAAACAACCAAACCAAACAAGTATCGGGAGTTATGACTTCCATTTCCAAGAAAATAACATTTCCATCTTGCAAATCAGCCATAAAGAATGACTAATTTCAGCATCCACGGATACTTTTTTGTGAAATGATATTCATTAGTTTAGTTGATAAAGTCCTGATATTTGAATTAGCAAAGTCAGTCAGCTACAACGTAGGATCAGGCACATATATGCATCGCTCCAAGTTGCCATACCGCATTAGCACAACAAGATGAATACCGAATTCATCGAAGTAGTTAATTCAGTGGCGGTAATATATATGAAAGAAAGATTGCATACAAGGACATAGTACAGTAGAAAGAATTAGTTCGTTGAAAGAAAGATATGAAGCGATTTTAATTTCATAGTTTAAGGGAAGACAGAGGGTGACTAGACACGAATGATTTATTAAAGTTTGAGCCCGGTTAACAGTAATCTAAGAGGAGGACCAGTCACTTATTTAAATCCAACTTGAAAGAATGGTTTTATTTAGTTTTAATCGCAGAATTGCTTTTTTTTTAATTTACTTATGCCTTTGACCCCTAATGGAACATAGGCCACCGACAAGCATTCTCCAACCCACTATGTCATGGGCCTTCCTTTTTAGTTCTATCCAGTTTTGTTCATTCTTCTCATATCTGTCTCCATTTCTCGGCATAATGTGTTCTTTGGTCTTGAGAATTCCAAGTGAGAGCTTGCCTTGTGACGCAGTTGGGTGCTATCCTCAATATGTGTCCTATCCACTTCTAGCACTTCTTCCTGATTTCTCCCTCCATTGGAATGTGGTTTGTTCTCTCCCACAGTAGGTTGTTGCTGATAGTGTCTGACCAACGGATCCGAAGTATTTTGTATAGATAACTGTTAATAAACACTTGTATCTTCTAGATGATGGTTTTCGTAGTTCTCCAAGTTTCCGCCCCGTACAATAGAACTGTGTTGACATTTGTATTGGAAATTCTGACTTTGGTGTTGGTTAATAGAATGTCAGTACCTAAATGTTAAGAATTTGCAATCTCCAATTTACAACTTAGAATGAAAGTAATCATTATCCGTTAGAATTGAACGTCAGGTCAACTTTCAACACATTCTCGTTACATGATTTTCAATACGTTTTTACTATGATTTGTGTTTGGTAAAAATCACTCAGATCATAAATTCTGATAGTTGTTATCGATATATAACCAATTAATCATCTGAAATGTATTCTTAGTTCTAGTCAGGTTATCATTACACAAAGCTTCTATTACAAAATTGAACTTCTCAACATAGTTAACTGAGTATGGAAGAATAGGATAGGAATAGTTTTGTTCATTGTAAAATATTAGTATAAGGTAAAAAAAGATAATTGATAAGAATTTATCTGATGTTAGTGATATGTTTATATTCTAATGACTTGATATCACAATACTCATTCTTTGTGAATATTTACATTGATTAAATCTCGCTTTTATTTTATTAGGATGGTTGATGTTGGTGGACAACGTTCTGAACGTCGAAAGTGGATACATTGTTTTGAAAGTGTTACTTCAATTATGTTTCTAGTTGCATTATCTGAATATGATCAAGTTTTGGTGGAATCCGATAATGAGGTATGTAACATTTTCTACAAATTGTTTTTAGTGTACTGTATAGATTTCAAATTACTTAAGTTTATTAGCATTATTTTAGGTTGTTTTGTAAATTTCCTGTTAAAAGGGTTATAACAATCAGGAAGTTTATACATATGTACGTAGTGTGCTTTCTTAATTCATTTAATGTGATCATGCCGTAATGATGACAGGACAGTAGTTGTGTGACACCCTAGTTCGATTATCCATTCGTTCACATATGTCCACCGGTAGGATTGGTGACCTTCTAAGTAATAATTAACATACCAAACAATGGAGAACAGGTGATATCTGAAGGCTTACTGGTCCTCGAGCTGCTTCTAACCTATTGCCCAATCATAAGATAAAAATATAAAGCAAATCAGTTTTCTATTGCATTCAATTCAATCATGATTGAAAACTCAGACAATAATATACTTGAGATGTCTGACCACACAGTTAGATAGTTATTTCTGTAATCTACGTAAGTGGAAAGTGTTTATCTACGTGTGGGATTGAGCAAGAGTTAGTGTTATGTGTCATTTTACGCTTTGTTGAATTTAGTTTACTTTAAACTAACAGACTAAATATACACAAAATATTTTGTTGCTAATTTCTGCACTTAAGTACTGTCAAATACGTGACTATTTGAGTCACAACAAATTCAAATGTGTTACAATCTCATTTACTACTAGTAAATTGGATGGTATAATTGAATTTCATACAATGTACACTACTTTGCACATCCATGAATTTGTGTTTTTCAAATAAGTCTTGCTTAAATTCGTTCAGATGAAATGGAATGATTTTCGCATAATTCTGTACTGTATTTTATAGAATCGTATGGAAGAAAGTAAAGCGCTCTTCAGAACAATCATTACTTATCCATGGTTTCAAGAGTCATCTGTTATTTTATTCCTGAATAAGAAAGATCTTCTAGAAGAGAAAGTACTCTATTCTCACCTTGTTGATTATTTTCCTGAATACGATGGTAAGTATTATGATTTCCTTGTTTTTCTTAAAAAAAGGTTAATTACATTTTGTTTGGTATTTACCCATGTTTAACATAAATTGTCAATTCAAACTCGAAGTAACTATCTTCAACGTACAGTCTTGTAGAAGTACTTTGCACTTCGAAGGTGCAAAGCACATACCATACTTACGGACAAAGATAGGGACAACTATCGACTCATTCCATGACGTTGGTACACTCTCTAGTTCCCAAACCTTTGTAAACAACGTCATCAGTTCCTTAGTCAGACATCGATATTAAGACTTTCCAAAGCCATAGCCAGCCCTATCTGTTGTCCGACCTGCATAAGTGTGCGAATATTGAAGGCAGCCAGTTTGAATGGTGCACGTGGTTTCAGAAAAACTGCTTCAGTACTCATATTCAGTGGTAACATACAATTTTCAACCGGACAGTGACTCGAGAACGTTTAGATACAGTCGAATTTCCACCAAAGACGAGCCGCTGTATAAGTATAAAAGAGGGTGAATAATGTGGAAAATAATAATAATAATAATAATAATAATAATAATAATAATAATAATAATAATAATAATAATAATAGTAATAATAATAATTTGAATTATTTGATTGTTAGTTGAAGCAAGTAAAGTAGTTTCCATAATTATAGGCAGTTCATCATATTTGTGTGTGGGCTGTGGTACTGCCCGAGTGCTCAAACCGAAACAGGTGGTTTTATTAGGGGGGCCACACCCCGAGCCTTTGACCTAAAGGTCTAACCCACTAGGCAGTGGAGCATCGTAAGGAGATGCAGTCCCATGGTAGCTGGTGACCAACGATTGGTTCATACGCCATTTGTTCCTTCAGGATCCTGGAGCTCATGTGCACCATTGGTTTGGAATCCGGTTAAAGCGCCGGACATTCGATTTTCGTCCTTTCATTTTCGTAAACAACATTAATGCCACGAGAAGGCGATGAGTAGGACTTCCCTGGCAGAGGCTGTATACGCGTGGCCGTGTGAGAGTATTTCGAGAGGGAGAGCGAACTCTCCCCACTCTCGGCCGTATCAGGACATTTGGGGGCATTTTAACTATAACTGTTTTGTTTTGAAAATGGTGATTTTTATGGCTTTAGATACTACTTAATGATAGTCGAAATAAGAGTATATTTCAGGAATAACTAGAAAAACAGTTAGGCAGCCATATATGTGATTCCTATCCCAAGGCAGCATGGAATGATATCCGAAAAGCTGTAGAAACAGCAGTGATATCTGCTAGTACGGTAACGCGTAAGGTTAGGGAGCAACACTGGATCTCAGCAGCATCTATCGCACTGATAGATGCTCGGAAACTCATCCCACCTGGCTCTGAACATAATGAAGAGTGGAGTCAGCTTAATCGCAAGCTGACAATTTCAGAAAATGATGGACATATTATACATTCTCAATCCAGGAGATTGGATCGATGGGCAGAACACTTTAGGGATCAGTTCAACTGGCCTTCAGCCACACTTCGGTTTCCCACGATCTCCATTCAACCGGAATAGCAAGTTAATCTAGGTCCTCCGTCCCTTCACGAAGTTGAAAAAGCTATCGGAAATCTTAAGCGAGGGAGAGCAGCAGGCCCTGACAGGCTTACTCCTGAGATTTTTAAGGATGGTGGTCCAGTATTAGCAGTGAGATTAACTGAGGTCTTAAGTAGAATTTGGGGACTGGACGTAATCCCATCTGACTGGTCTCAATCACTGATTGTGCCAGTCTATAAGAAAGGACAAAAGTCCTCTTGTGACAATCACAGAGGAATCAGTTTGACTAATATAGTGTCTAAAATATTGCCTTCAATAATTCTTCGACGCCTAACCAAAGCTCGTGAAGAACAGACTAGAGAAAATCAGGCTGGTTTTCAACCTGGACGTGGTTGTATAGACCAGATATTCACACTACGTCAGGTTCTAGAACATAGACACACATTCAGACGCCCCACAATCGTAGTACTTCTCAACCTTAATGCGGCATTTGACTCTGTTGATCGTGAGGTTTTGTGGCAGTGTTTGTCACTGAAAGGAGTACCAAAGAAGCGCATTAACCTTATAAAGGCTCTCTACTCAAACACAACTGGTCGAGTGAGAGATTGTTGCGAACTGTCATCAAAATTGATGACCTCAAGTGGTGATCGTCAGGGCTGTCCACTCTTTCAATTCTTGTTTGACTTTGCCGTTGAGGTGCTTGTAGAAATGACACTTTCCTTATCTAAATTTCCAGGGGTTGAACTTCTACCGGGAGATTCACTTTTTGACTTGGAATATGCCTATGACATCGTTTTATTTGGTGAAGACGCTGACAAAATGCAGTCTTCTGACCACTCTAAGCAACAATGCAAGCGTGGTCGGGATGCGATCCTCTCCCTCGAAATGCAAAATGTTGCTTCAGGATTGGGTTGCATTGACACTTGAACTAATGATAGGGAGTGAAGAAGTTGGGCCTGTCGATCGCTTCACTTATCTTGGAAGTCTCATCAGCCCTTGTGGTTTGGTGTGTGACGAAATCTCAGTACGGATACGGAAGGCTCGACTAGCTTTTGCCAACTTGCGTCATTTATGGCGTAGGCGAGATATCCGTCTATCAACCAAAGGACGTGTTTACTGTGCAGCATTTTGTTCCATCCTACTTTATGGCAGTGAAACGTGGCCGGTAAGAGTAGAGGATATTCGTAGGTTACTAGTATTTGATCATAGGTGTCTTCGAAATATTGCTCGTATATCGTGGGACCATCGAGTAAGTAATGCAGTTGTTAGGAAACCGGTACTAGGTAAGGATGGCAAATCGATTGATGACGTAGTGAAACTTCATCAGTTGAGATGGCTGGGACCCGTGCTACGTATGCCCAACCACCGACTGCCCTGACGTGCGATGTTTTATGATGTAGAAGTAAGTTGGAAGAAAGTTAGGGGTGGCCAGACCAAAACGTGGCGCAGGTGCATCCACTCTTTCTGTTCTCCCAAATTCTAATCTTCTGAATTCTTCGTGTCCGTTTTTTCTCTTTCCACATTTATTTCACTGGATTATACTCTTTAAATAACATCTCCAAACCCTAATCTTCCCGATTACTGCTTATACTCTTACTACCTCTACCACTGTGGGATTTGAATCGACAAGTGCATCTCTGTGCTAATGTGGTGTGGCAACTCGAACTGATGTACGTACGTACGAAGTTCTACGTTGTTACTGACTGATCTACATCACGTGTTATATCGCCAATAGGACCGATGATCTATTTTACGAGTATACACATCGGCCAATCAACTATAATCAAGGCTTTAACACACTTATTTTGTCATCAAACTCATTGTAACCCCAGTAGTCAATCAGAAGACTCAGTTAGGAAGTAAATTAGTTTATTTTTCTTAACGCAATGACTAAAAACGAATACAATAGTGCACTTAAAATACCTGACCACACAGCATATCAAATAAGAAATCACACCTTAAACACAATCGTTATTGTGTCATTGAGCTGGTGAATATGGGATTCACACTTGTTTAAAATTGTTGCATGGTTAAGCAATTCAAACACGACTATTTTTCACACTACTCTTGTTATTTGTTGTTTTTTTTCGTTGTTAAAGCTACAATTTCCGTAACATTAATGTTTTTCAATGCAAAGTTGTACACTTGTTTTCTCATTAACTCGAATGAAACTCTACTTTCAAATTTGTACGGTTAACTTGTATTGGTAATGTTTTCTTCTTCTTCTTCTTCTTCGTAATCATCATCATCATCTTTCACATCAATTTACATAAATTGACAAAAATTTGAAAAAAACTGTAAACGAACAAAAGGTCATGTAATTTAAAAAAGAAAGTTTAGAAGGGTGAATTTCATTTTTTCTTTTTAGACGAAAAAGGGGAACAAATACGTACATCTTTAGGTCAAGTTTATTGAGTAAGAGGGTTTGGTAATTTATACTGATAATATGATAAAATGTGTACTTATATTTAGATTATTTTCTTCAGTAGTAAATTTACATATTAGTTAGTTACATAAATTATGAGTTTAAATGATCTTCATTTATTAGAAAATCATTAGTTCAAAATATCTATCTATTCATTAAACTAAGATCTCAGTCAATTTTACAAATTACATACAAAGTAGAAGATTTCGTTCATACATTAACTGTTGACTTGAGAAGAAAAAAGAAACTCAATGTGTAATACAATCATAATAATAGAATGTATAGGATATTAGACAGTTGTTTTTACAATACAAGTCATATTCGTAATTTGGATCATATCTATTCCTGGGCCTTCCTTTCTGGTTCTATCCAGTTTTGTTCATTCTTCTCATATCTGTCTCCATTTCTCGGCATAATGTGTTCTTTGGTCTTGAGAATTCCAAGTAAGAGCTTGCCTTGTGACGCAGTTGGGTGCTTTCCTCAATATGTGTTCTATCCACTTCTAGCACTTCTTCCTGATTTCTTCCTCCGCTTGGATATCGTTTGTTCTCTCCCACAGTAAGTTGTTGCTGATAGTGTCTGGCCAACGGATCCGAAGTATTTTGTATAGACAACTGTTAATAAACACTTGTATCTTCTAGATGATGGTTTTCGTAGTTCTCCAAGTTTGTGCCCCATACAGTAGAACTGTGTTGACATTTGTTTTAGGTTACAGATGTTCTTCAGTTTTAGATATGTTTAAATATCTAAGTATCAGTAACAGTTGCATGCTATTGCTACGATTTGAGTTGATTTTATTGGATAATTAAATAATTTTCACGTCTAGTATATTTATAAAAAAGGAATTTTTGTTAATCGTTGTAGCGCTCACTAAATTTCAATTTCTCCATCGATAACCCAGCAAATAAAACCTACATATCAAAATACAGATTTAGACTTCTCGAATTCGAGCATGCAAGCTTTTCTATTGACTGGTTATCTAACTTGACCAATGGGATATCTAGGCTATCATGAGTGACCCGTACCAATAACAGAGTAATCTTGATCGAAATCCAGTATGCACTCCGTTATATATATATTATCATTTTGAACATATTTGATAGGAGAGCTTATTATACCTGGGCTTATGAACCACAAAATTGTCATTTTATGATTTCCCAGTTACATTATTATTTGTTGTCTTCTAGAAAGTTGAAATAGTTTGTATCAATGAGCCTAAGGAAACAAATGGCATGTGAACCTATTGTTGGTTACCGACTACCTCGAAACTGCACTTTAAACGTTGGTCTTCTGTCTGCGTTAAACTTCTTGATTAAAGGCTTATGGAGTAGCCTCCCGAGAAAACCGATTGCTTAGTTTGGGTGGCCGGGGAGTATCCCAGTTTTCACACAAATTGAATAATCATTACTTTGTTTGGTGCATATATATTTTGATACTCCTTCAAAACAATATTTATGTGCTTAAATAAATAACAACTAAATGTATTAAATTAATAGGGTTCCTGTAATCATAACTGTCCAATAAACAATTTCACAATGTATAACCTCAGTGACTGTCATTTCAGTGCGTAATTATTATAGATGAACAACTATTGTTCTTCATTTTATTTATCAACAATCAGTATTTCAAGATCAGTAAAATGGTAAACGTTAAAAATTCACTGATTCGTATCAGTATTATTAGTAACATATATCTATCAGGTAGTCAGTCATATACAGCAGAACGTAGAACCTGACACGTATTCGCATCATCTTAAGTTGTTATATCAGATTAGAATATCGAGATAAAATTACTTTAAAATAAGTCACAGAGTAGTAGAAGTTATAACAGTGTCAATAGAAGTAGTAGTACTATTAGAAAATATTATATATATATATATATATATATATATATATATATATATATATATAATTTCATTTGTCCTTCTCTTTAAGGTCCACAACGCGATGCAGAAGCTGCCCGTGATTTTATTCTAAAAATGTTTGTTGAATTAAATCCTGATCCTGAGAAAATAATCTATTCTCATTTCACATGTGCTACTGATACAGAGAATATACGTTTTGTTTTTGCTGCTGTAAAAGATACAATTCTTCAGTTGAATTTGAAAGAATATAATCTTGTTTGATAAATTATATCATGAAGTATGCATCATTTTGTCTATGGTAATGATTAATTATTTCTGTGTTTATATTATGTCAGTATAATTATGCATTGGATTGCTTAACCTTTTTTTAAAATGATGTCATACATAATTTTGTGGGAGAAATTTATTGTTTAGCATAGTAAGCATACAATAGAGCTCATTTTTATCGGGTTCGAAGGAGTTACCCACCGTAGACCGTGAAAGATGGTCGCGTAATATCGTTGGTTGGTCGAGGTTAGACATTAACACCGTACGTGTCAGCTCAGTGGTCTGGAGGTTAAGCGTTCACATGTGAAGTCGAAGTTCATGAGTTTGATTCCCACCAGGAGGGGACGGCCGTCCACTGCTCTCAGGTTTTCAGTTGTGGTCTAACATTGATCGGTCCATGATTTCAATGGAAGTATACTACAATAATCTTATGGATTGGAGGTATTTAAGAGAATATATTTGTACAGATGGAGGAATCAGTTTGTACATTTTTGTTGAGGATTTTCTATTACTCTTAATCTTATTTAACACTACAATGAAAGTTGTTAACTTTCCCTTGACTCATTGACATTCTTATGATTATTTCTTACGAGCTTGCTCATTTATCATCAACATAGAACGTGGCAAGGCTGTGAATTATGGATTTATAAGATGAGTTGAAATTAACAAAATGAATTTCACTGATCATGCGAACGACTAAACATCTATAATAGAATTCATTCATCAGGTACTTGGGTATGAGACGCACACTAATTTTAAGGGCTTACAATGATAAAACTGCTATCCGATCCTCAAATCAAAGTTGACGGAACGGTGTTAGAAACTGCTATTTAATGATAGAGAGTTGGACGTCTTAATTCACTAAATCTCATCCGGTGCTTTCATGTTTTCAAAGGTAGTCTAACTTTGATCGGTTCGTGATTTTGATGGAAATCAACAATCTCCACAGCTCCTTGCTGACGATTAACATGTGCTCACTAGCGACCAACAGTGGAGGGGAATTTCCAAAGTTCTAGTGAGGTGCCATGACCAGTGTAGCTAACTGTGTCGGGTGTTAGGCAGTTACCAGCGGAAGACAATGAAAGACGGTCGCTTATATCGTGGTTTAATTTAATAGAGTGGTATGTCATAATTGTTATCATTTGAGCAGTTTCAAATTAAGATTATAAGCCACTTTTTACCAATCATCAAGGTTCACCAGGTGAGAACTTCAAAATCAATTCTTTTTAATCAGAGTTTTTCTAGTGGTTAACTTATAATATCTTCATAAGTATTAAGTTGTCTACATTTCATTATTTTATATTATGTTTAGCCTTCCATCTACGCTTAAAATTGGAATTATTCTCAGCCAATCAGTTTATGTATTGTCGAGGGTCCTAACACAATGTATCTACAAGTACCAGTTAATTTAACGCAACGAACTCTCCCTATCTATGCCCTTATATCAGTTTTTGGATTCTGCGCCGCCGCCAGTTTGCCTTTTTTCTTGTTCGTTCCGTTATCATATACATGTATATGAGAGACGATAATACATGCATATACACTTTAACCTCTCAGTAACTGCTGTCAACTATGCCTACCGTTCATTAAAAAAATGATGCAATACTACCACTTATTCTTATCGATTCATGTATTTTTTAAATTGGTTTTTCTTTCCTTCTTTCTTCGCTTCCTCATTATTGCTCTTTTTGCCTCATTCCACATTCACACTATTTTAGTGCTGTTTATTTCTTCCATCTCATCCACTTAGTCTATGTATGTATGGATGTATGTCTAGTGTTTCTACCCAATAAACTGCATCCATTGTCCGACCCCCTACCCTTCGTGCTTACTCAGTAATATTTAGACGACGTAGCTATGTGTGTGTGTCTATGTCTGTGTGTCGAAGGTGGTTTAGTCGTGATGATATGTATTTGATCGGAATTCTTCCTTATTTTCAAATGATCTTTTATTATAGCTCTTCTTTGTTGTCTTGTTATTGAACAGGACTCTTTTTTAATTACATGGTTTGCTAATTTGTTTGTTTGTGTGATGATGGTAATAATAATGGTGTTCATTTGTTTAAAAGGAGAAATAATTGGTAGTTTTTCGTTCTTTCCTTGTATCGTCGGCTTTCATTGTGTTCGCTTATTTGTTTCTTCTTTTTTTTTGTTAAATATATACATGAATCTAGTCTATGATACAAACAACAATTTTCGTTTATCATAATGATTTACCGCATGCCTTTTCTGTATACGTGTCGAAATAGAAATCTCCTTTTTCTAATCATCGAATTTGCTAATAATAATAATAATATGCGACTAGTTTCATTTTATTTTTTCTTTGATAGTTTATATTTCTGTTCTGCTATGAAGTGATTCTTACTTTAAAATGTGTTTTCATTTAGTTTTTCCACCTACACATTTCTTTTGTATATTGATCTGTTCCTATACCCTCCCTCCTGCTTTCTTTATGATAAACTCTTCTTCTTCTTCTTCTTGTTCGTCGCCATTGTACTTCCAGAAATGAACAAAAGAAGGAAGCTCCTGTTCACTGTTTCCACTAACTGTAATAAAATTATTTAGTCTACACTCTATTGTGCTATTGTTATTCTGTTTAATTAGTTCGCAAAATGATCGTTTGTTTTTTTTGATTGAATTTCGTTTCTTATAATATTAAGATGAACAATTCTTCCCCCTTTTTCTTCTTTCTTTGGAAAAGTCAATGAACAAATAGATTTTAGATGCTTTTTATGTTCATCATTCTTCTACTTTTCTCTTTTGTGACTTGCATTTTGTTGGCAAAGTTGTCTGATATATATGTGCACGGGCGCATTATTCAATTCCCCGTTTAACGATTGATCTATTACAAGTTCTTATTACGCAATATGTATTTATTAATATTATTATTGTTTGAAAAGAGTGTAACAGATCATCTTTTGTTCTAACTATTCTTCCATTTCATTCAAACCTACGATTTTGATTCGACATCAATCAGTTGTTAGTCAAAAATTACACCCTGTAAAAAGTATCAATACATTGATTTAATTTCATTGTATGTTTGCGATTTTTCTCTGCTGATTTGTTAGTTAGTCATAGTGTTTTTGTATGACGTTTTCCCTGTTCCATTCATTCAAAAGTTACATGCATCACACACCCACTGACTGATGTGGTCGTTTGATGATAATAAAACACTTCCTTTCTCACCAGTTATTATGTTTGTCATTTGTAATTGCTCTCTACAAAGTCTATATATGTATGCAGAGGGAACATTTTAGCAAGTTGTTAAAACATAGCATTTTTTGACTGAGTGAAGAGCACACACTCTCTCACTTTCCATCTTTTCGCCCCTTTATTTACGATGTCATAAATCAGTCGGATTGTGTAATGTTCATTCTGATTGTTGTTCTACTACTACTACTACTACTACTATTGTTATTACAGATACTATTTTGATGTATGAATTAGTACTTTTGACCTAATGCGCGTACTGATTGTATGTCGTATGTATGCTTTTGCTTCCGTAAATCAGATCTAATAGATAAGTGGTATTAATTAGTGATATCTATGCATAGTTGATTTTTCTCATTGATTATTCTATGTGTTTCTTTTGTTTTGTTGATTTAGGCAATATTTTTAGATTGTGCATATATCTATATGTATGTATGTGTGTGTGCACATATCTCTTTGAACCAATTTCTTATATGTCGTAAACAATATAGTGCAATGACATTGAGTTACTTAATTGGTGTTTCTTTTTGTATACTGCAATTAAGAAAAAAAAAATTCTAACTTTTCTTCTTTAGTTGCATTTCTCTCTCTTTTTCTTCTCTGTTTGTTTTCCTCAACTTTTTGATTCTAACAATTGAATAGTAATTGTGCTAATAGTAGTCTGTATGAATGTATTATTTATAAAATCATATTTAGGTTTATTTCTTGCTTCAATATGATGGTGATGATGATCATGCTCATGGTCGTGATCATGACGATGACGATGGTGACGACGTTATCATAATACATATATATATATATATATATATGTGTATACTTCAATTAGCTTTATTATTCTCGTAATTCTCAATATCTTCTAGCCAATGTTCTTGTTATTTTTTTTTGTTTATTTTTTGGCTTCGTTTTTTGTTTGTTTGTTTGTTTATCTAGTCCTTAAACTTTTCTTGATAATGAGATTGTAATCTAATGGTTTGAAATAAAAGTTCATTGTTTTTTTTCTCTCTCTCTCTCTCATATAAATGCACTCAAACACACAATCAACATGAATTTTGGCTGATACAATACAACCATTAGTTGAAAATATGTATTCAGTATAATGGTTTTGTAACATTTCATTGTATTTCTTGCTTACACCATAGATATATATATATATAATAGAGAACAAGGTGGGTTGAATTGTGTTTGTAGAATATGTTTAAGTTTTCTTGTAATATCTTCTATGTGAACTAGTTGATTGCTTGATTATTCAGTGCTCAGTAAAGGCTGAATATCTTTGTCTAAGTTTGTATTATACTCAGTGAGAAAAATGGATTTCAGACCTTTTGTAGAAAAAGAAATTCATGCCTCAGAATCTAAAATATAGTATAACCAAGTGGTTGACAATTCAGCTACTGTTAACCCTCAACTTCTGGTAATTTATTAGAACACTAGTTGTAGGCATTGTCATGCCATGAAAAAAATGTAAAACCTCTCTAACTGCTTTGTGAAATGGAGCATTTAGGTCGAGATATACGACAACATTCTACGTGTTCTTGCATTTTAAGAGCTTTTGATCGGTAGGTATCTCGTTATCAAGTCCAAGACAAGTTTGGAAACCAGTCTGATGCTCTTACTAGACATGATTATGCGGTCTAGTAGTGAGAATAAAGGTGATCGGTCACTGGGTGTGGACAGTTAGCCGCTCAAATTATTGAATATGTCGTTTCCTTTTCCCTAATTGATTCCTACTGTTCTTTTAATTGTGTGGGATAAAATATTGTTTGGCGTTACTCTGGTACTCTAATC